CCCCGAGTCGGAACGATCGGAGGCTCCTGGGGAGGCGGGGGCCTGGGAAGGGTGGGGACAGCATGGTGCCCTGCGCGGTTGTGTGGACCTGAGGATCCCGTGACTCTCAGGTTGGAAATACTTGAGTCGTGTTCGCTTGAACCCCCCGGCCTCCTCCATGGTTACCAGATAAGATACAAGATGCTCCAAGAAATTGAGGTTTCAGATAAACAGCGAATAATTGTTTAGTCGAAGTATATCCCCACTGTTGCACGGGACGTACTTAGACAAACAGTTTCTCGCTCTATCTGAAATTCTATTGTAATCGAGCGTTCTGCATTTTTATTTGCTAAACCTGGCAACCCGGCTGCAGGAAGTGAAGGTGACGCTTCCTGCTAAGTGGCCAAGTCTTTGCGGATAGGGACTGTGGCTTATTCGTGTTGATGTCGCCTCTGGCTGGAGCGGGGGCACTGCTTTCCCTCGCTTCCCCGCTTCGAATGTCCCGCGGCCGCCAGGCCTGCGGTGGAGGATCCACTGCCTTGGCTGACGTGTGTCCGCGCGCCTGGACGGGGTGGCCTGCCAGCTCGCAGATCTGCGCCGGCCACTGAGCATCCATCCCTCAGTCTGGGAGTCTCTTCCTACCTGCTTGATCTGGTAACTCTTACCAGTTTTGCGCTGGGAACTCTTGATTAACTTTCTGTGCTAAGCTAGAGAACCTCTCGGAAGGTGCTACGTGGTGTAACTGTTTGACTGACAGGTCCTTGAGGATCCCGTGTTTCTCCAGTGATATGTGTCCCTGGCGCATTTAGCACTCTGCCTACTTAGCACATAGTAGGCCCTCCATAAAGGCGGCATGACTAGTGGGTGCTTCATAGGTGTTGAAGTGAACCAATTATTGTGCACTTGCTTCTCCAGTGATGTCCGTTTCCTAACTAGCTGATGAGTTTCATCGAGCTCAACTAGAATTGAAGGAAAAGTTGCCTTCCAGAGCTTTCTCTTTTATTTGGCAGCGAAGGGGGTGATATTTCAGAATGCACCTCCCTCCTCCTCTCGCTACCCAAGAAAACATTCTTCTATGAAAGTTCTACTGGAACGCCTGCTTCAGTAGTAAATGCATAGTAGATGCAAATGCATAGTACATGGTTTGGGCATGATGATTAAATGCTGGACTTGAGATGAAAAGGACTTGTTTTCTTAGTTGATAAACCAAATAGATTGCTGATTTATTCCACCAAAGCTCCTACTTAGGTCTGGGCTAATGCTGCTTAACCTCTTTTTCTGGTTTAGGCTCCAGGAACTCAGCTTGCTTTTTTCTTTTTCTTCTTCTTTTTTTTTTTTTGCTGAGGAAGATTCACCCTGAGCTAATATCTGTGCCAGTCTTCATCTATTTTGTATGTGGGTTGCTGCTGCAGCGTGGCTGATGGTGCTGTAAGTCCGCACCCGGGATTTGAACCTGCGAACCTGGGCCACTGAAGGGAGCATGCTGAACTTAACCACTACGCCACCAGGCGGCCCAGCTTGCTTTTTTCTAAAAGCTGCTCCTTCTACTCTCCTCCCAAGCTGGCTGTGGTCTCTCTAGCTGGCTGCTTCTAACCCCTTCCTGAGATAAGCACACAGACCCTTTTTGTTTTAAAGGTTTCATTGCTAATCTATTGGGAAGCAAAGAAGGATAGATTGTAAACACCAGGGAGTTATAATGTTCCCTTGGAGTAGTTTCTGCCCCTAACTCTTTGTTATTACTGAAAGTGATGTTTGTTAGAGCATTCTTATTCTAAGTGTGCAGGCATGGCCATATAGAACAGATGCTCATCCTCCAAGGATAACCTGTAAAAAGCCATTTAAAGTGGATTCTTAAAACAGTACTAAAATTTCATGCCATATGGTAAATATAAAAGTTTTGATTGGTACCTTTGAAAAAAGGTAACTAAACATTATAAAAAGTAGCTCACTTTTATATTTAACAACATGTAAATTTTAAGTGCACTCACCATGAATGAATGAAGTGTTTGGAAGGAGAAGTTTTTCTATTAGAACTTGAGTTTTGCAACATAATCATAAGGGGAATATTTTCTGAAATATTTGAAGTTTCGATTCTTTATCTTACTCTCTTAATCCTTAGATATTCGGGTAATTCTCTTTTGAAGGCTGTATTATCTTATCCTTTTGCAAGATTTGTCATTTCACTCTGCAGTTAGTTTGCATCACAGTGTTTGATATTGTTCCAGCAATGCAGTAGGGCCTGGCTGATCGTGAAAGATAAAGTGGATGGGGAAACGTTCTGGGGATAGGCAGAGAGATCTGCTGATATTAAATGGTCAGTTTTTTAGTGAATATTTTCTTGTTACAATGAATGCCTCCTTTTACAAGCTCCTACCAGCTAGATTTTGGGTAATAAATATGGAGATAATGAGGGTCCGTATAAAAAAGAAATAATAGTAATAATGTCAAATGTTATTGAAGATTTACTGTGTTCAAGGCACTTTTCTGTTTTCTGTGTATCAATTCATTTAATCTTCACAAAACCCTTTGAGGTGGGATTGGTTATTGTTCCCACTTTACGATTGGGACACTGGGAGCTATGGATTGTTGTGGTTGACATACCTTAGTTTCCTCAAAATCTTTGAATCTTTGTAGGTTCTCTGTTTCACAGAGTGTTCATGGAGTTTTGGCATGTTTTAATAAGAAAATGGAAAGTAGCAGTTTTTTAAACCAACACTCAGGTCATGTGGCCAATCATTAGGACAGTCTTTGAAATTTGGTGTTCAGAAATAAGAGTGTGCCAGGCTTTAAACACAGTAAATGTGCTTTTATCGAATAACTCAAGGCATTGGGAGGCTAGTTAGAGAAGGACACAGACCCTTTTGGTTTTAGTAAACAAATACTTTGTAAACTGATATTTTGTGCTGATAATAAGTAAAACTGTTTTTTTTAGGTCATAAGTCTGGATATATATTTGCATATCAGGTTTCCTTGAAATGGATCTCATCTGATATATTACCTTTGTTATTTAATAAACTTCACTGACTTTTAAAATTCCTTCCAGGATGGGGAACAGCACATCATCATCTTTGGGGAAGTCAGCAACTGCTCCTGTGAATCAGATCCAAGTGAGTGATGTGGGAGATGGAGGAGAACACTTTCCTCTGTGGAAAAAGAATTGTGTCTTACACATTTTTTTTTTTTGTGAGGAAGATCAGCCCTGAGCTAACATCCGATGCCAATCCTCCTCTTTTTTGCTGAGGAAGATTGGCCCTGGGCTAACATCTTGCCCATCTTCCTCTATTTTATACGGGACGCTGCCACAGCGTGGCTTGACAAGCGGTGCTTTGGTGCGTGCCCGGGATCTGAACCTGTGAAGCCCGGGCCGCCAAAGTGGAGCGCGTGCACCTAACCGCTATGCCACCTGGCTCCTGTGCCTTACACATTTAATATACTCATTCAATATCCAAACTTGACATAGTTCAGCAAATGAATCACTAAATTACTATATATTTTAAAATCTGCTACAAAATAATCCATGTGACAAAAAAGTTCTAGATCATTTTGGTAGTCAAAATTTATGAGGTTTATTGTTAATGTAGTCTTCACTCCTTCTAAGTTGGGTGTATGAAGTTGGTGGCTTCTTTCCATCCTACCCACCTCAGGTCTACGTTGATACCAGTCGGGCTGCCCTTAGCCAGGAGTAGTATTTGATTTTGGCCTGGGAAGCTGTTTAACAACTCTCTTCCCTAACATGGAACCTAGTATACAGTGGTTGCTCCATAAATGGTCCTCTCAGGGATACCGTGCATTGCTGTGTTCTGTCGTTTTCTTTCACTGCGAAGTCCAGTTAATTCTGCCTCAGAAAATGTCTCTCGTGTGTATGGTTTTCTTTCCTTGCCATGTACAAGACATACTCGTGTTCTCTTTCTCTGTTCTTTGCCACCAACCACCGTTGCATATGTATTTCTGCCTTTAATTTATCTGGCGAAAAAAGTATTCACTCATAGCTGTTGAATTTAACAGCAATGCTAGAAACCTATCATGAGAGAGTTGCCTCTTTTAAAATAAAAATACAAAATCATGAAGTATTTAGCAAGGATGAGGTTGAGAAAAGGTGAGAAGGAGGGTTCAAGGAACTTTGACATGGTCATCCTGAGTTTCAGCTCACTTTGGAAGCTCTCCATCACTGTTGGTACTGTGTGTCAGTTCCCAGGATGCCCATCGCTCTGTGAATGATGGCCTCAGTGTGTGCCTGTTTCCTGAGGCAGCACAGCGAGGGAAGAGCACCGGCTGTGGTGCTGAGACAGGTTGGGTCCAATCCCGGTAGCGTGAACCGCTCAGCCTCAGTTTTCTCATCTAGAAAATGGATTCATTAAGACATCTCTGGTATGGCTGACTCTCCCTGAGATAGACTTGTGTACTAAATATTATGAGTAAGCAGAAGAGAAAGCATAAGAACAGACCACCTTGCAGACAGGTAGACTGTGACCTAGAATGCTTCTCACACCCAAGGGCGGCTATAACTTCTGAATCACTTTGCCTGGGTTTTCTTTCTTATTTTTGTCCTTGAAGGTGCTACTTATGCCCCACATAACAGCAACCTAGACAGATGCCTGGGTGCTAGACCTTTCCATTCAGAATCTCTTGAAGGACCTGGACATTCATATATTTAGAAACAAAGACACAAAACAAATTTCATAGGCAATGCACATGCATAGCAAAGTCTCATGGTCTTGGTGATAAAGGCCTGGAGGGTAGTTTCCAAACAAGGCTGATATCATTCGAATCATCTGGACAGGTTTTAAAAAAATACAGTTTCTGAGGCCGGCCTGGTGGCATAGTGGTTAAGTTCGTGTGCTATGCTTCGGCAGCCCGGGGTTCATGGGTTCAGATCCCAGGCTCGGACCTATACACCACTCATCAAGCCGTGCTGTGGTGGCGTCCCACGTACAAAATAGAGGAAGATTGGCACAGGTGTTAGCTCAGGGCCAATCTTCCTCACCAAAAAAAAAAAAAAAAAAGAAAGAAACAGTTTCCGACCTCTGCCTCAACCCTGTCGGATCAGCATTTCTGGAGGTAGCTTTTCCAGGAACAACAATAAAGAATACCTTATCAGTACAGTAATGGCAGTTTTTTCATTGTAAAGATATACAGGAAGGAGTGGAAGTTGAGGGGTAAGCTGTTCTTTATACCTGGGTCAGTGAGATCCTTCCATTTCAAAGAGAAACCATACATCAGTCCTCACCATTGAAAATTAAGGAAGGTGACGGGCCGGCCCCGTGGCTTAGTGGTTAAGTGTGCGCGCTCCGCTACTGGTGGCCTGGGTTTGGATCCCGGGCGCGCCCCGATGCACCACTTCTCCAGCCATGCTGAGGCCGCGTCCCACATACAGCAACTAGAAGGATGTGCAGCTATGACATACAGCTGTCTACTGGGGCTTTGGGGGAAAAAAAATTATATAAATAAAATGAAAATTAAGGAAGGTGAGGGCTTAACTCTCAAACACTTACTGAATATTCAAGAAGCAGTATAACAGAGATTAAGTGTGTGGACTGTAGAGCCAGACTTGCTTGGGTTCAAATCCCAGCTCTCCCACTTATTAGCTGAGGATCATGAGTAACTTATTCCTCGGCCTCGCTTTCCCCATCTGCAAAGTGGAGATGATACTAGGACCTACCTCACGGTTGTGGTGAGGTTTAAATGAGCTAATAAAGGTCAAGTGTTGAGAATTGTGTCTGGCACACGGAAGTGTTTGCTGTATATGGATTTTCTATGATTATTTTTATTACTCCATGCCAACACTTTCCTTCTGTTACATCCTTTTTTCCTAATAATGTTCCTTTCAAATGAGTAATTTTGTCCTCAGTCTACAGATGAGAAAATAGATGATGGAGACTTAGTTTGAGCCCTGATCGTGAGACTCCAAAATCCACACTCTTTCCACTCTATCATGATTTCTTTCCAAACGTCATGTCTAGAATTAAAATGATTTGTTTGTTTGTTTTACTTCAGGAAACAATTTCTGATAATTGCGTGGTGATTTTCTCAAAAACATCTTGTTCTTATTGTACGATGGCAAAAAAACTTTTCCATGACATAAATGTTAATTATAAAGTGGTGGAATTGGACATGCTCGAATATGGAAGCCAGTTTCAAGACGCTCTTTACAAGATGACTGGTGAAAGAACCGTGAGTATATCCTTGATGGTGCTTTTCCCCAAAATAGATGGTGACCTGGATCACCTAGAACCTAGACCCTCGTGTTGGGAAAAGAGAGCCAGGCATACTCTGATAATCTTATATCGATTAAGGAGACGGCAGATCTGGGAACCAGATTCATAGAATAGGAAACAGCAGTGTTGATTCATTTTATTTTTATTCTTGCTCTGTGCGCGCATGTGTGCGCGTGTGTGCACGTGTGCATGTGCGCACGCGCATGTGTGTGTGTTTTGACTGGCATGGGTGGGGTAATGGTGTTGTCAGGAGTGCTTGTCCGTGAATCTTTCAGGTCCTCCTGGAGCTCTCCTCAGGATGAAGAAGTATCCTTCCTCCCTTTACTTGGACAGTACAGACCAGGGGTCAGTGTTGAGTTACTGTGCTAAGAGGAGTGCTTTAGTGCTCCATGTGTTTAGATTCTTGAAATCTGTAGATGTTTCCATAATATGCATTATCAGAAAAACATACAGGGTCACCATTTTCCTTCTTGTTTATATGTGCATGGAAGAAGCTTATAGTGTGTTCTTCCCCTCGCCTTCAGTAAACAACTGTAACAAAGAACCTTTTTAACACTATTAATAGAGACTGCTTTATTTTGCCTTTTATATACCATAGCGATTAGGAGGAAGGTGTTGCGAGTCAGATTGTCCCGGGTTTGGTCATTTGCTCTCATTGTGATCTTGGGCAAGTTCCTGTGCCTCATTTTCCTCCACAATGAAGCTGAAAATAGTAAGGGTTTAGGTAAAGACTTAAATAGGTAATTGGTGACAGAACTTACTATGGTGCCAGGCCCATGAAAGTACCCAGAGTGTGAGCATCTGCTATTATTCTGTGAAATGGTCTTATACTTCTGACACCAGGGTGATACCTAATCTTTTGTTTATCCAATAGGTGCCAAGAATATTTGTCAACGGAACTTTTATTGGAGGCGCAACTGACACTCATAGGCTTCACAAAGAAGGGAAATTGCTTCCACTGGTTCATCAGTGCTATTTAAAAAAAAGTAAGAGGAAAGACTTTTAGTGATGTTGGTGCTCATAACTTTGCTAGTCAAGTGTCAGTTATTTAAAGTGATAATGCCTTTTAAATGTTTGAGGATGTTTGAAATATGTGAATTATCTTCATGAAAACGTAAGAATAATGAACAATAAATCACTGTGGAAACCTCATCTTCCTACTTGCCGATTCTTGAGCAAAAGGGACGCTATTTAGAACTGAAGGAGTCGACTTGTATAAAGGATAAGAATGTGTTTTATTAGGGATTTATATGTGAATTTTACAACCAAGAGCTAGAAGGTAAGCATTTGGGATTCTTTATTTTTCTTAGTTTTCAGAAGGCGTTAACTTCCTACCTTTATAGCTCTTGGTGGTGAGGACTCATTTAAGATGTAAGATGTAAGGCTCTCACAGACACAGCTGTGAACTTAGGCATATCCTTGTACTATATTGTGACAAGGCTTCACACTTTTTACTTCTAGAGTAAGAGAAGTATATTAAATTTGTAGGATGGAATGAAATTTATTTATTTCAGAGAAACCAGAATACTCGTTTAATGACTCAGTAGTTCCAGGGAACAGAACTGTGCCTATGGGCAGAAATGAAAAGAAGGAAGATTTCAGTATGAGGATGAACTTTTGAAAGAGTTCAGAAACGTCCTTGAGTTACATTGTGAGGTGGAGAGTTCTGCTTTCCAGAATGTGTTGAATGGCTGGTGGAAATGTTCTATAAGGGATCCAGGTTGAACGGGAGGTTAGAGTGACTTCTCTACAGTAATTTCTTTCTTTCTTTTTTTAATAATTTTTCTTTCTTTCTTTCTTTTTTCCCCCAAAGCCCCAGTAGATAGTTGTATTGTCATAGCTGCACATCCTTCTAGTTGCTGTATGTGGGACGTGGCCTCAGCATGGCCGGAGAAGCGGTGTGTCGGTGCGCGCCCGGGATCCGAACCCGGGCCGCCAGCAGCGGAGCGCGCGCACTTAACCGCTAAGCCACGGGGCCGGCCCCTCTACAGTAATTTCTGATATAGATATTCTTCAGTTCTGAGACTGGGAATACTATTCATACTGATTTTCAGATAAACTTAGCAAACAAGATTTATCCTGGGGCCGGCCCCATGGCACAGTGGTTAAGTGCGCGGTCTCCGCTGCTGGCGGCCCCCGGTTCGGGTCCCCGGCGTGCACTGAGGCACTGCTTGTCAGGCCATGCTATGGAGGGCTCCCACATAAAGTGGAGGAAGATGGGCATGGATGTTAGCCTAGGGCCAGTCTTCCTCAGCAAAAAGAGGATTGGCATGGATGTTAGCTCAGGGCTGATCTTCCTCACACACACACACAAAAAGATTTCTCCTATAGGCAGTCTTATTTTGGAATAATTGAAAATACTTTAGATACTCTATTAATCAAATCAATATTTCCAGCTTCCTATCAACAAGAAGTTTTTAAGTGCCTAAGAAGCATTTTCCTAGCTGATCCCACAGAGTCACATGGGGCAGATTACCAGACATTGGGAAGAGAAAACTCTTCCTTAGCGGTGGGAGGAAAATGGATTTTAAGAGAAGCGGAATGCTTCTGCGTTCTGGTCAAGATGGACCAGGGAATTGGGATGGTCCTACAGAGGACAGCTGGTGGCTTTTTTGGCCATTTGCCATCAATGATGCTTCCTCCATGGACTTATTAAACTGCCATTAGGAGACCTTCGTAAAGCAAGAATTTGGACTATGTTATTCTCGTGCTGAGTTAACTCTGGAATGGAGCAGAGAATGGGATGTCCTTTAGTCCTGTAGTTTGCCCTATGTCATGAGAAATTTTACATGCTTGCTATGTTGTAAATTCTTTGTCACAGAGTAGAGGAAGTCTATTACCTTGTGTGATATTGTGATTTATAATAAATAATATATTTGGTCTTCATCCCATTCCTGGCACACAGCTTCTAAAACCCTTGGATTTTCTGTGACGAGAGCCATAAAAATGTCTTTTATTATGTTAATGAGGTGACTTTTGGAAAGCCCCTGAGGTTGGGAGCAATTGCCAGGGGAACCAACCTTGAGATTAGAGGGTTGGAACTTTCAGCCATACCCCTAACTTTGCGGGAGGGGAGAGGGGTGGAGATGGAGTTCAAGCACCAATGGTCAATGATTTAATCAGTTATGCCTATGTAAGGAAGGCTCTATAAACACCCAACAGGATGGGCTTCGGAGAGCTTCCAGGTTGGTGAACACGTGGCGATCCGGGGAGAGTGACATGCTAGAGAGCATGGAAGCTCCCTGCCCTTTCCCCACACCTTGCCCTAGACATCTCTTCCATCTGAGTGTTCCTGAGTTAGATCCTTCTATACTAAATTGGTAATCTAGTAAGTAAAATGTTTCTGAGTTCTGTGAGCCACTCTAGCAAATTAATTGAACCCAAGGAAGAGGTCGTTGGAACCGCCAATCTACAGCCGGTCCGTCAAAAGCACAAGTAACAACCTGGACTTGCGATTGGCATCTGAAGTGGGCTTCTCGGGGGCAGTCTTGTAGGACTGAGCAGCTGCCCTGCTGACATGTCAATCCTGGATGACCAAGAGCTTTAGTTTTAACTGGTTATGCAGAGGCTAGTTACAAAGCTTACAGTTAACAGGGAGGGATTTGCATAGGGGAACAAAACAAGCCACTAAATTCTCAGGGAAAAAAATCATAACTGGTACTTACATTGAGTGTATCTATTAGAACAAGACAGAGGTGTTCAAATCACTAATCACACTTACTAGGTGTAACCAGGATGTAGGTTAATCTCTTAGAACTGTAAGTTTTTTTTAATAAAATATGGATAATACCATCTTCCTTTAGTATTTACTTTGAGAAATGGAGAGAATGTCAATCACACAGCATGGTGCTCGGTATAGACAGCGCAAACACTCAATATGTAATGGCTATTATAATCCCAATGGCTCAGAAATATGGTTTTCTTGTGGACCCATCAGGGTTAGCTAAGATTTTAGGGGGATTTCCATTTCTTCTCCTTTTCCATGTCTTAGCTCAGGCTGCTGTAACAAATTACCATACACTGGATGGTTTAGACACAAATATTTATTTCTCACATTTCTGGAGGCTGAGAAGTGCAAGATCAAGGTGCCAGCTTAATTTGGTTCTTGGTAAGGGCTCTTCCTGGTTTGCTGATGGCCATCTTCTTGCTGTGTCTTCACATGGCAGAGGGCAGAGAGAAAAAGTGAGCTCTCACCTCTCATACAGGCACTAATCCATCAGGAGGGCTCCACCCTCAACACTGAATTGCCTCCCAAAGGCCCCATCTTCAAATACCATCACACTGGGGATTCGAGTTTCAACATAAAAATTTGGGGGAGACACATTCAATCCCTAACACGACGCTTTACAGCTGGATAAAAGTATAATATAAATTTAAGACAAAACTAGGTATGAGGGGCCGGCCTGGTGGCGTAGCAGTTAAGTGTGCGCGCTCCGCTGCTGGTGGCCCGGGTTCGGATCCTGGGCGCACCGACACACCGCTTGTCCAGCCATGCTGAGGCCACGTCCCATATATAGTGGAGGAAGATGGGCATGGATGTTAGCCCAGGGCCAATCCTCCTCAGCAAAAAGAGGAGGATTGGCGTGGATATTAGCTCAGGGCTGATCTTCCTCAGAAAAAAAAACCCAAAATCAAAACCAAAACCTAGGTCTGAGTTATTTCGGCAGCTCTTTTTCCAGAACCATAGGCTAGAAAGAGAATGGTGACTAGTTTAAGAAAAAGTAATGTTATCTTTTTTTCCAGTCCTTGATTTTATTTTTAATGTTAAATTCTGAAAGAAACTGTTAAGTGAGAGCCCATTAATATTAAAAAAATGGGCCATTTGTTTTCTCATTTTATCACTAATCAATTTACACTTGAATTGCCACAATAACTAAGTGGGAAGCTTGAAAGCTGTTAAAAAAAAAGGAAGTCTTTTAAAAAAATTTATCTGGGCTTTATTGTTTACTAATATTATAAAAAATATCATTTGAGCAATATTTTTTAAAGTTTCTTGATAAGGTTTAATATTGTTAAAAATTTTTTAAGTCTAGTTTTCTTCATCTATCAAGAAATGTATAGTTTGTAATCTTCCTTTCTCCCTAAAACTGTTGACTTTGTCATCTTTCATAAGAGAACTATAAAATCAACCAAATGGTCAAAATTTTGGTAGGTAAGTTCTGATGTAACTTGCTCTCACCCTTCTGCATAACCTACAGCTCAGATCTCATAACTTTTCAGAAAAGTTTTATGGGAATTCTGAGAGAAAAGAAATTTCTGCAAATTGGTACTGAAACAAAATATTTTTATTTGCATAGTTGACTTTTGGTGTTAACATAACTTTTCCCAAAGGCAACTTTGAGTAAATTTTTTCACAAAAGAATCCTGTTTTAAAACTCAAGAACATGCACTTTGATTAACTCCAGTTGTTTTGATCCTGTAATTGAAATCCCCAATCACATATATTTTAAATAATTATAGGTATATACAATTAGAGGCATTATAAGGCCAATGTTAATTATTGAAACTTAATTTCATCTTATTGAAATATTAAGAGCCTTAGATTTTTTTTTTCTATTTTTTTGTGAGGAAGATCAGCCCTGAGCTAACATCCGTTGCCAATCCTCCTCTTTTTGCTGAGGAAGACTGGCCCTGGGCTAACATCCGTGCCCATCTTCCTCTACTTTACATGGGACGCCACCACAGCATGGCTTGACAAGCGGTGCATCGGTGCGTGCCTGGGATCTGAACCTCCAAACCCCGGGGCGCCGAAGCGGAGTACACGCACTTAACCACTACGCCACCCACCTGGCCCACATGAGAGCCTTAGATTTTATAAGGCATATTATAAACTTAAAGTTCTTATTTCTTTAAAGAATAAAAAGACAATTATTTGATGTGCATAGAGTTTATTTGGTATGTCTATCAATTTCTACAATACAATTAACCAGAACCAGTTCACATAGTGCCCACCTGCACTCCATGTCTAAAATGATTTATATTCAGTATGGTACTTTGCAAGGCTAGAAAGGAGAGAAAATCAAGAGTTCACAGTTTCGGTGAAAACTGTTTTATCATGAAATAAATTTAATACATTAGTATTTCATCCATTTGCTATCAGAAAACAGCAAAATTACATTGTTAGGTATATCATTTACAGTGAAAACTTGG